CACATAAACAGCGCGGTGCTCCAAGGCAGCAGCCGCTCTGTCACCCCCACGACACGGACCTCCTTGCTGCCTGCTCCGTTTTTTCACCCAGCACATTTGGGTGTGTTTGTGGCGTCATTCCTCTGCCCAACCACCGCAGTATTTAAGGGCTTGTGATTAAATCGCGCCCACCTGGATAAGCCAGGTTACCTCTTTAAGGTCAGCTGAGTAGAAACCTTAACTCATCTGCAACGTGAATCCCCCTTGCTATGGAACATGCCGTATTCGTGGGTTCTGGGGATTAGGACTTGAACGTCTTTTGGGGGCCACCATTCTGCCTTCCACATGGATCAAATCAGACAAAAAGCATCCAAGCTGTTCAGGACAAGGCAGTCACCAAGCTGTGAGAGCCACACAGAGCAGGCGGCAAGGGGAGAATCCGCTTCTACTCAAGCAGACGTGGGAGATTCACAGAAAGAGGCCATTGGATCAGGTCACGGACGACGCCTCAGTAAACCCTAAAGGGTCCGTGTCACGGAGATTATGAATTTGAACTATGATGAAAAACATCTGGAAATGGATATTAAAAGGATACCTAAGAGAAGCTCGTGTGTTTGAACATTTATTAACATTTTACTAGGTAACGTGGCTAAGTCGAACTCCTGAGGGAAATGAAAATACGATTTAGAATGAGTGACAGTGAAAATACCATATGTGGAAAGTCACAGGACACAGGTAAGGGTACCTAGAAATACACAGAGTCATAAATACCTTCTCCAGCAGGCTGGGCACGGGGGCTCCCGCTTGTCATCCTGGCACTATGGGAGGCCGGGGTGGGAGGAGCACTTGAACCTAGGAACTGCAGACCAATTTGGGCTCCCTGCCTCTAATAAATGAAAAAGCAAAGTAGCCGGGCGGGGTGGCGTGTGCTTGAGGTCCCAGCCACTTAGGAGGCCGAGGTGAGAAGGTCGCTTGAGTCTAGGAGTCTGACAGTTCAGTCTGACAGCACCACAGAGACAAGCCTGGGGACAGAGCAAGACCTTGGGGGGAGAAAGAAAGAAAGGAAGAAAGAAAGAAAAAGACAGAAGTCAAGTGAGAATAGAACGAAGTCTCAAAATCAAGTCATTGAAAAAGAAAGCAACGTAGCGAAATAATCCCAAATTAATAAGAAAAAGGAAATGACAAAGATCCTGGCAGAAATCAGTGAGATAGAGAATAAGCCAAGGACAATGTTCTGATAATATTGAGCGAAAAAGAGGAAAATGTAAATAAAAATAGAGACAAAAGGGAGAACGGCAGACAGAGGGATGAAAGAAACACACTGAGCAGCTGTGGCCAACAATTCCGAATTCCAAGATCATTTCAAGGAAAAACGAAACACGAGAACTGACAGCAGAAGAAAAGGGGGAACGGAAGAGGTCGGCGCGTCCCTCCCGGGGCTTCCCAGGCAGACTGTCCCAAAGTCCAGGAACGGTTCCAGCTTAACTCAAACTGAAGAACGCAGAGAAGGGGCAAAAGGCTGGTATAAGCCGGATTCCAAAACCAGCCAAACATCCGGCCTTTTGCCGACCCAGCTGCCGGGAAGGGCCGGACCAAGCCGAGGGCGGGCTGCTTATTCTCTGTGCCCAGTAGCACGAGATGCAGATGAACCGGGAGAGAAGTTTTATTTCGGTGACCGGTTACAGGGAGAGGGCCTGGAAATTATCACCAGACCAACTCAAACTTACGTTTTCCAGAGCTCACATAGCTTCTAAGCTGTGTGTCTGTGAACACGTGTGCGTCCGTCTGAAGACGTGAGTGATTCACTTCTCACCGATCAGCGCGGTCTGAGTCCTGAGACCGTCCCCTGGAGCCTCGGTGAGCTGACTGAAGCTGAGTCCAACTGCCGGGTGCTGACCCTTATCCATCTCCTGCCACGTCATGGAAGGTTGGGGTATGTCTTCAGTCTCCAATAAAGCTGGTTTGTGGGGGCCTGGGAGTTTCTTCAGATCCTCAGTAAAACTTGTTCAATCCTAAGTGAGTCCTGTTAAGAATTTCTTCCTTATTTTGTCATCCTTCCAGGCCCAGAAAAGGCCCAGGCAAAGCTCCTGGTGGGCTTTTGTTGCAGTCCAGACTTTGCCTAAGGCACGGGCTCTTTCAGCTTTTAATATTTAATGTCACCACTTGTCAGCCTGGAAACTCCTGTGGCGGAGCCTGCGTTAGTGAGACCTGGCACAACACACTACACGGGCAGCAGCCCATGCAGGAAAATATCCTAAATAAAATGTTGGCTTGCCATGTCTTTAAAACTGCACATGATCGAGTAGTGCTTGTCTGTGTTCGAGGCACACACATTGTGAGCAGTTTCTGTTGTCTGTTCATTTCCCAGACTCAGCAGCCGAGGGACGCAGACGCTGCCCTTTTGACACAGCCCTGGGTACCCTGGGCTTAATGAGTGTCAAATTATTTTCCAATTACGGCAAGTATTACCGAAAGCCACTGGAGTCAGCCAATTCCTGCCTCATTCCTGACGGTTGCAGACCCCATGGCTGTCTTTGAGGAGGCAGGGGGCATATAGCCTGCTGTGTCCACAGGACACCGAGGTGCACGGATGTCTGCTGACTTGGGGACACTCATTGCAGGTGACAGGGTGTGACCCTGTGGCCCTGGGCCAGGCTAGAGACTTGGCCAGAGGCTTCCAGAAACTAACAGCCACATTTCCCATGCCCAGGATGCACCCCAACGGGGGCCGGGGTGCCCCACTGCCCCTTGTTGGAAGCTCGAATGTGTCCTCAGCCGGAGGCCCTGGCCATGTGGTTGTGGGTGCAGCCGTGCACACAGTGTGGAGGGGCAGTGGGAGCTGGGTTGCTGGAGACCCAGTCAGAAGGTGCAGGGTGGGGCGGCTCACACTCACTTGATTCCTTAGAACCGAGAATTGGCACTTTGTGGGGTCTTCCTCACAGGAGAGCCCAGTGTCCCGGTGAGGTCCACACAGGTGCTCAGTCCATGCCCTGTGAGCTGCCCTGAGTGACAGGATGCCTCCAGCTCTACTTTGGGGTCCCAGTCCCTGGCTCAGGCCCCCTCACGCCCGGCTAGGGCTCTGGATTCTGCTGTCTTCCGTCCTCCTGAGTCCTGAGGGGCTGAGAATTCTGCACAACCCCCACACTGCTATTCCAGCACCCCTGTCTCTCATCACCTGCTCTGGGCTCCCTTCCACCCCAGCTCTGGCTGCCCCTGCACCTCATTTGCTCCCCCCATCTAGTGTGCTTCCCCCACCTGAAGTGTTCCACCTGGAGTGCTCCCCAGCTCCAACTGGAGTTTTTGCCCCACTTGGAGTGCCCCCTACCTGAAGTCCCCCCCACCCGGAGTTCCCTCCCTCGAGTGCCCCCCACCTGGAGTGCCCCCCACACCTGGAGTGCTTCCTTGCCTGGAGTGCTCCCCGCCTGGAGTGCTCCCCTGCCTGGAGTGCCCACCGCCCCCCCCCCCCCGGAGTGCTCCACTGCCTGCTGTCCTTCCTCCAGATGAGTGCAGAGCTAACTCCTCACCTTCTTAGGTCCTGCTCAGCCTGTACCTTCCATGATCACCCCATTTTGATCTCTCTCTTCTCGTGGTGTCTGTCACTGTCAGTTGTACCCGTGCTGTTGACTGGCCATTCCCCATGACATGGATGCTGCTGAGAAAGGCCAGTGTCTCAGCCCCACCAGTGGGAACCTCAGCCCTAAGCCACCAGCATGTGTGCCCAGGGACCTTCTAGAAGGTCCCAAGAGCACCAGGACCCAGGTGTGGAGGTGTTGCCCTGAGCCTGCAGAGCTGGGACAGGAGCCTCCAGTCCTGCCCTCCCCAGCGCCTGGCTCCTCCTCCATCCCGGGCCTGGGCCCTTCGTGATCCATCACCTGCAGGCTCCCCCCATGCCCTGGTTCTGGGTCCTTCCTGATCAATCACCTGGGGGCTCCCCCTACACCCTGGGCTTGGGTTAGGGATTTGGAGTCAACCCAGGGCTTCAGGATTGAGCAGGGGCACAGCAAGGCTCCTTAAGGTGAGCACAGGCTGCCAAGTGAGCAGTGCAGACTATCCCCAAGGGGGTGCAGCATGGACAGGCTTTGGGGATCACCGGGCTCCATCCTGCAGAAGCACTGGGGGTCACTGGGCACGGTGGACAGGCTCCCTTCTGCAGAAGCGCTGTGGGTCACTGGGCACGGTGGATGGGCTCTACCCTGCAGAAGCACTGTGGGTCACCGGGCACGGTGGATGGGCTCCATCCTGCAGAGGCACTGGGGGTCACTGGGCACGGTGGATGGGCTCTACCCTGCAGAAGCGCTGTGGGTCACTGGGCACGGTGGACGGGCTCCCTTCTGCAGAAATGCTGGGGGTCACCGGGCACGGTGGATGGGCTCCATCCTGCAGAAGCACTGGGGGTCACTGGGCACGGTGGACGGGCTCCCTTCTGCAGAAGCGCTGTGGGTCACCGGGCACGGTGGATGGGCTCTACCCTGCAGAAGCACTGTGGGTCACCGGGCACGGTGGACGGGCTCCCTTTTGCAGAAGTGCTGGGGGTCACCAGGCATGGTGGCTGGGCTCCATCCTGCAGAAGCGCTGCAGGTCACGGGGCACGGTGGGCGGGCTCCCTTCTGCAGAAGTGCTGGGGTTCACTGGGCACGGTGGCCGGGCTCCATCCTGCAGAAGCACTGGGGGTCACCGGGCACAGTGGATGGGCTCCCTTCTGCAGAAGCGCTGCAGGTCACTGGGCATGGCCTCTGGCACCCACAAGGGCTACTAGGGAGTAAGTCTCATGAACTAGGCACTGGCATTTTGGTGCCTGGGCAAGAATGGCATTTTTGTGTTTGTCATTTTAAGTAGTTTTGCCAAAGTGCAAATAGAAGAGCTTATGTGTGTTGTGGAAGGGGAATGAGATCGCATTTGTGTGTGAGAAGCAGCCCAGGCTTCCCTGATAAGCACGTGGCTCAGGGCATTGTCCCCCCAGGGGCAGTGTGTGTGGGGACCTGGGCACACTGGGGACACAGAGACAAAGCAGAGCCGGCGAGGAGGGGCCACGACATTTATTGAACTCTGAGGCGCACAGAGGGATTCCCCAAGGGCCTCCCCAGCACGCGGCATCTCTTGAAGGCAGGGCCCCAGCAGGCCCTGCCCTCCACCCCACTCCTGGGGTCAGAGCCCCGACATCCTCCACCACCCTCCTCTCTGGGCACTCCCCACGGGTGGCAGGAGAAGCAACCCCCAATTCCAGCATACAACCTGGGGCAGAAACTTTGGCCCAGACGACACGGGCTCTGAGGGGAAACCGAGTCGGCACGGCGGGGCTGTGGGAGAGGAGGGGTCTCAGGCAACAGTTCTGGATGGCAGAGGAGAATGGTGGACAGGGAGTGCTGTCGGGATGGCGACCCAGCTCCTACGACAGACAGCTACGCTGACACCAAGGAACAATATTTCTAAAATAATTAACACTGCATGCCGGTGAATGGGCAGGCTGGAGCGTCAGTCACGGGTAACACTGAAGGGGATCGTGGGGCCTGCAGCCTCCGTGGAGAGCGGCTGTGTGCGTGGGTGTTCATCCATGGCTGGTCCTTTCGCTGATGCAGAAAACCTCTCCACTGGTATCTGTGAGGCAGGGAAGGGAGCTGTACAGTGTGAGAGCCGGGCTTGGGCCCTGGCAGGGAGTGACGTGACGTGGCGGGAGGACGCTGGGTAGGGTTAGAGCGCGCCCATCCCCGTGACCTCGGACGTCAGCCTAGAACAGACAAAGGCAGAAGAGGGACAGACGGTCACAACAAACACCCTCCTCAGTGGGCAGGCGTGAGGCCAGGCTGCGAGGCCTCTGTGCTCGCTGGGACAGGTGGTGGCTGTCGGCTCAGGAGGTCCTAAGCTGGAGACCGCAGCACACAGGCCTGTCACACGTCAGGACCCTGGGCCTCCACCCTGCCCGGGTCCCCCAGGCCTGTCACATGTCAGGAGGACCCCGGGCCTCTACCCTGCCTGGGTCCCCCCATGTCTGTTACCATGTCAAGCCACAGGGATGAAGAGAGGCCCAGACTGACTCTGAATTGTGGCACAAGCCCAGCGGGGTGCCCGTGGGTAAAGTCAGGGGTGTCCTCGTGCTCTCCAGGTGGGCTTTCACCCACTCACTGGGAGCGCGGGTGGCTGAAGGGGCACTGGGATAGGGTTCCAGGGCCAGCACAGGGCTGTGTCCACCCAGAGGTCCTGCCCCACCCCTCCCACCAGCCCAGCTAGGGGCTCTAGCAGGACACCCTTGGGGAGGGAAGAGGGGGTGTTGTTATGTCAGAGGCCGGCAGGGGCTGGTGGATGGCCTGCCTGGCAGGGTGGGGCACTGGTCCAGGCTGAGTGGGGCACAGTCACAGGGCCCCAGGTGGCTCCAGACCCTCCCATGTGCAGCAGGGACCCACGGACTGGTCCTGCCCATCCTTACACATTTCCATGAGGAAGAAAGAGGAGGCAAAATGGCAATGCCCCAAAACATTCCTCTTTCTGGAGAGCTCTGAGTGGACAAGTCAGGCCTTCCAGGATTTGCTGCCTCAAAGAGGCAGGTCTGGCTGCCTGTCTGGGGCCACGGGAGCACCTTCCTCTCTGACCTCCAGGGTCAGCACTGGAGACGCTTCAGGTGGGAGGTTGGAGAGTGAGGCGGAGGCTGGCGCCATCCCATCCAGTCCTTGCTTTCCGGCCCCGGCAGAGCAGGCAGAGGGGGAGGCAGAGTGTGGCGCCGACTCAGCCTCCTCCCACCCCCAACCATCCAGGCACCATAACTCCGCTGGCACGTCCCTGTCCCGACATCTCAGAGGCCCTTGGGGCTGCTCACCTGGCATTGATGAGATACTGGGCAAGGCTGATGTTGGCCGGGGTCCCTGTGATGGTGATCTGACGCTCTGAGGACCCTTCAGTGGCGTTGGCAATTTTGATCTGAGCTCCAGACATCTGTCGAATTTCATTGATTTTGGTCCCTTGGCGTCCAATTATGCAGCCTATTAGCTAGAAACAAGGACGGGGGCATTTTTTAGAGAAGAGCCTGAGCCAGCCTCTGGAGACTGTGGGCAGTGCACCCCGGGGGATCCAGGCGGACTGCCAGCCTTGGACTCTGCCCCAAGCTTTGAGCTCAATGCCCCAAGAGGCCCCGCACAGGCCACCTGCCTGAGGTCGGGCTAAGAGCACCTGTGCCTCTGCCGCCCCTCTCAGAGCCACCCTGCTCCCCACTCCTGTGGGAGGTCCACCAAGCCAAGAGGCCACAGTCACTCAGCCCGGGTGCTCCACACTGGTCCCCCCGGGGTCCAGGAGCGACCCACAGGCGGCAGCCAGGGGCCGAGTGGGGACGCTCTGGAGCCAGCACGGCCCAGGGGCATCTATGCCTTCCCAGCTGCATCCTCAGGGAGACCAGTTCTGTCCAGACAGGCAGCATCAAAAACGCTCAAGAAGAAATGTGTGCTTGAAGCCAGAGCAAAACTCACTGCTGCATAAAACCTAGTTTTTGGCTGAACTTAGATGAAACTCTGAGGCCCTTCAGGCACTTCCTTTCATTCCCATTTTGGGACCCCTGTTTAAAGTTAGAACACAGTGACTTCTGGCCAAGGGAGTCATCAAGAATGAGGGTGCTCCTTGAAGAAGCTGAGGGAGGAGGATGGGTGTGAGGGGAAGCCACAAGGGAGCTCAGGGACAACTCAGGCCCCCAGAGAGGACGGTGCAGGAGCCAGTGGGATCTCTCGATGCCCACAATCAGATGAAACGGAGACACTTCACGCACCCACAGGCCACTGATGAGAGCTCTGGAGCCTGGCCAGGAAAAAGAAGTAGCCAGACATGTGGCAAAGAGAGCCCCAGACTGGAGGGTGCCTGGCAAGGGGGGCCAGGAGGGCAGCCGGGCACAAGGATCCCAGATGGCCCTGAGGCAGATTCCCCTTCCACCTCCCATGAGGCTGCTGGGGTGTCAGATGGTGAAATGGAGTCTGTCCTCACACGGTGAGATGCTGGATAAGGGCTGGGCTGGGCTGTGCACCGTGTGCAGGAGGGACGTCCACTTCCAAGCATGAAGGGGCTCAGCCTGGGGGGTGAGCAGCAGCTCCATGGCGGCACACAGGTGCCCTGCCAGCCAGCCCCTGTCCCTGAAGAGACCTACAACATCTCAACCCTGCTCACCTTAGAGGCCATCTCTGCTGGTTACCTAGGTAATGACAGCCATCTCAGAACCCTCAGTCTTTGTAGACATCTAGAGACCCCCGCTCTAGAGAACCCAGAGCCGCTGGGAGTCCTGCGTCTCCTGCTGCATCTCTGGGCTCCACCCACCACTCAGGCTCCACCCACATTTCCCAAGGCCCCACCCACAGTCCAGCCTACTCATGCCTGTGTGTGGTTGTTGAGTGTACCCTTGGGGTCAGGAGGGTGGCTTCCTAACTGCCACATGGCCACATTCATCTGCTTGGCTGTATCCCCCTCTCTGGTGGCAGAGAGCTCTGGAGGGCTCATCTCTGATGGGGGCCAGCTAAGGTGGCCCCTGGAAGCAGGGACAGCAGCACAGACCCCATGATGAGGGGGAACGTGGCTGACTCAGCAGCTTGACCGCAGGTCCCTGTAAGATGCTGACATCAGGAGGGAGTGCTCCTAGGCTTTCATGCTGCCAGCTTCCTATACCCCTCCTTGGCCAGCATGCAGTCAGCTTGGCTTCATGGCATGTTCTGCACTGGAGTGCATGGCGCCTGCTGACGCACACAGCACTGAGAGCCTCGCCTCGTGCACAGGCACTGCTGGGTCTCTCCTTGAGGCTGGAGGAAGTATCTCCCTGCCCCTCCCACACAAGATGCCTACCCTCTTCTCTTAACCATCTGCTCCTGTCTTCTAACTGCCTCGCTCCAGCTGTGTCCTGGCACACGTACCCCACCTGCCCTTACCCTGCCCTCTCCCTCTATTCCCTGTGACATGATGTCCAGAGCACCCCTCTCCCCAGGCTCTGGAGGGCGCTGCCTTTGCCATAGGCCTTTCCGCTCCTCTGCACACAGCTGTGGGGTCTGAGTGCTGATGGGACATTGTTGAGTCACCAGGGCATGCCTGCCTCACCACAGACGCCAAGGTGAACAGCACTGTGACTTCTGTACCGGTGCTCTCCACCGTGAGAAGGGAATGTGGGGAGGACAGACCTCCTTCACCTGCCCTGCACTGGGCTGGCTCACTCAGTGCTGGGGAGGATGCCTGCTAGGCTGAGCCCTGCAGCCCAAGGGTGCCTTCCACCTGGCCCCACCCGCACCTGCGAACCCTGCCAGCAGTTAGCAGGCTCCTCCCCACCCGCACCTGTGAACCCTGCCAGCAGTTAGCAGACTCCTCCCCACCTGCACCTGCCAGCAGTTAGCAGGCTCCTCCCCACCTGCACCTGCGAACCCTGCCAGCAGTTAGCAGACTCCTCCCCACCTGCACCTGCCAGCAGTTAGCAGACTCCTCCCCACCCGCACCTGTGAACCCTGCCAGCAGTTAGCAGGCTCCTCCCCACCCGCACCTGCGAACCCTGCCAGCAGTTAGCAGACTCCTCCCCACCTGCACCTGCCAGCAGTTAGCAGACTCCTCCCCACCCGCCCCTGTGAACCCTGCCAGCAGTTAGCAGGCTCCTCCCCCCCCGCACCTGCGAACCCTGCCAGCAGTTAGCAGACTCCTCCCCACCTGCACCTGCCAGCAGTTAGCAGACTCCTCCCCACCCGCACCTGTGAACCCTGCCAGCAGTTAGCAGGCTCCTCCCCACCCGCACCTGTGAACCCTGCCAGCAGTTAGCAGGCTCCTCCCCACCCGCACCTGTGAACCCTGCCAGCAGTTAGCAGGCTCCTCCCCACCCGCACCTGTGAACCCTGCCAGCAGTTAGCAGACTCCTCCCCACCTGCACCTGCCAGCAGTTAGCAGACTCCTCCCCACCCGCACCTGTGAACCCTGCCAGCAGTTAGCAGGCTCCTCCCCACCTGCACCTGCGAACCCTGCCAGCAGTTAGCAGACTCCTCCCCACCTGCACCTGCCAGCAGTTAGCAGACTCCTCCCCACCCGCACCTGTGAACCCTGCCAGCAGTTAGCAGGCTCCTCCCCACCTGCACCTGTGAACCCTGCCAGCAGTTAGCAGACTCCTCCCCACCTGCACCTGCCAGCAGTTAGCAGACTCCTCCCCACCCGCACCTGTGAACCCTGCCAGCAGTTAGCAGGCTCCTCCCCACCTGCACCTGCGAACCCTGCCAGCAGTTAGCAGACTCCTCCCCACCTGCACCTGCCAGCAGTTAGCAGACTCCTCCCCACCTGCACCTGTGAACCCTGCCAGCAGTTAGCAGGCTCCTCCCCACCCGCACCTGCGAACCCTGCCAGCAGTTAGCAGACTCCTCCCCACCTGCACCTGCCAGCAGTTAGCAGACTCCTCCCCACCCGCACCTGTGAACCCTGCCAGCAGTTAGCAGGCTCCTCCCCACCCGCACCTGCGAACCCTGCCAGCAGTTAGCAGGCTCCTCCCCACCCGCACCTGCGAACTCTGCCAGCAGTTAGCAGACTCCTCCCCACCTGCACCTGCCAGCAGTTAGCAGACTCCTCCCCACCCGCACCTGTGAACCCTGCCAGCAGTTAGCAGGCTCCTCCCCACCTGCACCTGCAAACCCTGCCAGCAGTTAGCAGGCTCCTCCCCACCCGCACCTGTGAACCCTGCCAGCAGTTAGCAGACTCCTCTCCTCCTCTCACCCTTGTGTGCCTCCATTGCAAGTTCAAAGAACAATAAAAATATTCTGAAATAATGTGGCCCCTCCTAATCAGATGTCAATGCCAAATCCCACTGGAACTGCAGCAGCACCTCCCATTGCAGCCTCTCCTCCTAGAGACCACTGTTGACACCTTACATTCCTTTCCCCAGCAGAAGGCCCAGCTGATTCTGCAGCTGACAACCAGGGAAGGGGCATGAGCCTTGGTGGGTGGGGTCCTGTTGCTCAGGGCAGAGTGAGGGTGACCACAGGCACCAGAACCTGCATGGCCAAGAGCAAGAACTGAAGTAGGCGGTGAGGGAGGCCCACAGTGATTGTCAGGGAGCCAAAGGCCTGGGGCCCCTGACTGGCCTGTGTCCCCAGGGGCCGTGCTGGGGAGCCTGTCTCGGGCATCCCTGTCACCACGAGGGGTCTTTCTGCAGGCAAGCTGAGGCAGCATGATCCGATTGTAACCAAGAGACAGCGTGGACGAGATGACAGGCAGTTCAGAACAAGCGCACACGTTTTATTTCTTCCTTTTCTCCAGGAAGGTAGCAGGCAGCCACCCAGTGAGGAACGTCAGCTTTGGTGCAGCCCAGATACATCCCCCCACGAAATCTGGGGCTGGCGGTGAAAGCCCTGACTGCCGTCAACAGCCCTTTCCATAAAGAAGCATGGAAGGCTGTGCCCAAAGGGACCGGGATAAGAGGAAGCTCCTTCCTCCTGAGAAGCAGGTCTCTTCCCTAGGAAGATCCCCAGGAGGAGGATGGCAAGTGGGTGGTGAAGAGCTGGGAAAACCAGCATCTGTTTGTGTGAAGGACACCCCAGGAAACAAGGTAACCAGCTCTCCAAAGATGCCTCATCCTCTTAAAGCTCATTTCCATCTTAAATGAGTGCTTGGATGAGGCACAAAGCTGGCGTTAGTGAACACTGACTCAGCAGGAAAGGGGAAGCCCCACGGGAAAAACCTGCTGGCTTTACTACCTGGAGGAGAAGATGCAGGAGGATGCCAGAAACCACATGCTCATGGGGCCCTTGCAGAGAGAAGGGCTGGGGGCAAGAAGCAGAAGTCTCCTCCCTCCAACAGTGCAGGGACCACACCTGGGGAGATGGCTCTGGGCTGCTGCCTGTCAAGTTGGGCCAATCTCAGAAATCCTCGAGGATGCCGAAGGCTGGACCACAATGCTGCCTGGACTGTGAGTGTCCTGAGCTTTGAGCAGACATGGGGACTCTGTGCTGACCAGTGGCCAGGAAAGAAGGCCTAGAGTGCACACTGCCACAAGGGGCTCAAATGAAGACGGCTCTTTGGGGGGTCAATGGTGCCAGCCAGATGGCCTCATGGTCCTCTCCTCTGGCAACCTGCTGTCTTCAGCTTCCTTTTCTCCCATTCCATCGTCCACTTCCACACACAGGACTGGTGATCTCACTGAACGCACAGATCTGTGCTTCCTATTGTCAGCTTGCATGGAAGGAAGGAACAGGGCCTAGACTTCCTGCCCAGCAGGTGTAAGGGGCAGGACAGTGAAGGCTCCCAAGTCCACAGCTCTAGGGCAGAAAGGGACCCTGGACACTTGACCTGTGAGTGGGGCTGCCATCTCCACAGCCCACACAGGGACTCTGCTTGCTGCTATGGAAGCTATCCCTCAAGGACATGTGGCCATGCCCTACCTGGTCTCACAGTTTGGGGATAAATCAAGCATTCAGAGAATTGTCCTCCCTCTCCACAAGACCCATGCTTGCTCTGGGGAGGATTGAGTGTGCTGAGGGGAGCTCATAAAGCCATACCCTCAGGTACATTGAAGGCATGGACAGACTGAGGGGTGCTAGAAGGAATCTAGACAAGTCGGTGATATCCAACCAACATCAGGTGTTAGAGCCAACTCATGGAGAATCCCAAGTCTCCTGAGGGGTTAGGGCCCATGGAGCTGATACTGAGAGTGGGTCCCCTCTAGAGCATTCCTGGGTCACCGTGTTCTTCAAGGTTTGACCCTGTACCGGGGCAGTGCCTCCACAGCAACATGGGTTCCTGGTCCAACTCCCATCTAACTACGAATTAATATCTAAAGTCCCCTTTAGCCCATTGCTTATTCAGTATCTGAGGGATGTAAAAACACATAACCTTTTAGACAGTAAATCCACTTTAAGAAGGAAAGGAAGGGGAAAACAGATCAAACAGTGGGGTTGGGGTGGTGAAGGGATCACCCATGGGTCTGCCCAAGGACAGCAGAGCTGACAGCCACTTTTGCCTGATGTTTCCACCCAGGGACAGGGGTGCAGGGGCATACTCACATCATTGGGAATGGTGAGCTCGTGAGTGCTGGCCGGTGGGCTGGCATCCAGACCTGGGCATACCAAGGGGACACGGTTAGGCTGGCGGAAGGCTGCTAACAGTCACACTCCAGTGCCTGGCCCCCACTCTCCTGGGTCAGGTGAGACAGGGCTGTAAAGCTGGCTCAAGTGTGAGGGTCAGCACAGCCCAGAGGGCCAGGACCCCGTGAACTTTCAGTCCCAATCTCCTTGTTCCTAACTTCTCTCAAGAGAAGGAAAGAGAGACCCAAGCAGGAAATTTCATTTTTTCATTTTGCATGCACTCCCCTCTGACACCTTGCAAAGCCACCGTGATGGACTCCGGGTGGAAGGGTAGGGCACCCAGCATGTCTTAGGGCCTCTGCACAGCACCCAGGGCACAGGCCGTGCTGGTGACGCTGATGCTGAGTGCCCATTCTCCCTGGCACCCAGCATGTCTTAGAGCCTCTGCGCAGCACCCAGGGCACAGGCCGTGCTGGTGACACTGATGCTGAGTGCCCATTCTCCCTGGCACCCAGCATGTCTTAGAGCCTCTGCGCAGCACCCAGGGCACAGGCCGTGCTGGTGACACTGATGCTGAGTGCCCATTCTCCCTGGCACCCAGCATGTCTTAGGGCCTCTGCGCAGCACCCAGGGCACAGGTCGTGCTGGTGACGCTGATGCTGAGTGCCCATTCTCCCTGGCACCCAGCATGTCTTAGGGCCTCTGTGCAGCACCCAGGGCACAGGCCGTGCTGGTGATGCTGATGCTGAGTGCCCATTCTCCCTTAGTTGTCAGGACACCCCACAGGTTCTGAGGCCACGCTGCTCCACCCGACAGTGCCCCACCTCCCTGCCACACCACCTGCCCTGCTGCAGAGGACAGCAGATGGCAGAGCACACAGAGTTGCCTCTCATTCCGATTCTGATGTAACTCTGCCCATAGGCCACTGCCCACAGCCTGGCTCACACAGCTCAGGCCCACCAGGCAGTTCTTCCAATTTGGAGCAAGGAGAACCAATAGCATCACTGAGCAAAAATAAAGTGCTAGGCCCTGTGAAAAACTGCACATTTCTATACAGATATCTTTCTTTGTTGAAGAGTGATGACCTGGGTCTAATTTATCATTGAGCCTAAGTTTTCGTGTTTACAAATCTGCACTTGGTACCGTCAGATAAAAGATAACCTCTCAGAGTTCAAGTCCAAGACCTGTGCTTGCCTGGAGGCTGCAAGCTGTGTGAGTGTTGGCACAGAGGCCAGAGGCCTGCTTTGCTTAATGCTCAGCATTTCCATCTCCTGGACACATGGCGGCTCCGACCCACAGGTCTACTGTTGACACTGCTCTTCCCCTCGCAGGCCCCAAGTGGTTCCTGTGACTCGGATCCTGTAGCTCAGCCTGGACCTTGGAGACTCCGAGACCCACACCTCCTAACCACAGCCCTGGACGATGTACCTTCAGAATGTCCCAGACTGGGGAGCCTTCCTCCCACCCCCATGCTCCCCTCTTGCTGGTCCCTGCCTCTGCTGTGCCTAGGCTCAACAGACCAGCTGGGTCCCCAAAATGCACCTCAGATGGCTGTAGACACCCGATGTGCTCCTACTTCCTCACAGCGCCTCCAGTGCCCTCGAACTTGATGTTTAAGCCACAGAGGTCCTGCTTCTCCCCACTGCCTCTGCCCTGCCCCTGGCCCCTGCTAGCCACACCCTCCCTGGGCCCTGGGTGGGGCAGCCTGTCTACGATGCCACCTCTTGTCTCATCTTATGGCACTGGCACCCCCAACCAGAGGATCCTCTCACTGTGGCCAGCCAATCTCCCTGCTAGGGAGTGATCCCACAGGGCGGATGTGGTCCTGTGGGGCCGTCCAGCACAGGAGGGGATCAGTTAGTGCTGACTAAGCCAATTCACCTCCAACTGTCTGTTACTCTTCTTTTGCATATATAAGCCTAGAATTTGTTTTTTATATTCCTTTAATAAAGATACTTTCAAAGCAACATTTGGTTATTGAACTATCTATACATGGGTTCCTGGTCCAACTCTCATTCTGTAATGGTGACATTTAAAATGTCACTAAAAGATTTCCTTGGTCCTGCCTGAGTACTAGACAGAAATTCCTGAACAAAGCAGACTTAGATGAACAGACAGCAGTGAGCCACACCTGCTGAAGTTGGGATATTTTGATTGATGGGAGGAAAGTACAGGAAATCTTCCTAGGACAGCACTAAAGTTAAGCTAATAATATAAAGAAATGTCTGCATAACCAGGACATCCATCTCAGGACAGACTGGCCCAGGTATTCATCCATCTCAGGATGGCATGGCCCAGGTGTTCATCCATCTCAGGACAGACTGGCCCAGGTGTTCATCCATCTCAGGACGGCATGGTCCAGGTGTTCATCCATCTCAGGACAGCATGGCCCAGGTGTTCATCCATCTCAGGACAGACTGGCCCAGGTGTTCATCCAACTCAGGACGGCATGGTCCAGGTGTTCATCCATCTCAGGACGGCATGGCCCAGGTGTTCATCCATCTCAGGACAGACTGGCCCAGGTGTTCATCCATCTCAGCACAGACTTCCCATGTGTTCATCCATCTCAGGACAGACTGGCCCAGGTGTTCATCCATCTCAGGACGGCATGGCCCAGGTGTTCATCCATCTCAGGACGGCATGGCCCAGGTGTTCATCCATCTCAGGACAGACTGGCCCAGGTGTTCATCCATCTCAGGACGGCATGGTCCAGGTGTTCATCCATCTCAGGACAGCATGGCCCAGGTGTTTATCCATCTCAGGACGGCATGGCCCAGGTGTTCATCCATCTCAGGACGGCATGGCCCAGGTGTTCATCCATCTCAGCACAGACTTCCCAGGTGTTCATCCATCTCAGCACAGACTTCCCAGGTGTTCATCCATCTCAGGACGGCATGGCCCAGGTGTCCATCCATCTCAGGATGGCATGGCCCAGGTGTTCTCCATCTCAGCACAGACTTCCCACGTGTTCATCCATCTCAGGACGGCATGGCCCAGGTGTTTATCCATCTCAGGACGGCATGGCCCAGGTGTCCATCCATCTCAGGATGGCATGGCCCAGGTGTTCTCCATCTCAGCACAGACTTCCCAGGTGTTCATCCATCTCAGGACGGCATGGCCCAGGTGTCCATCCATCTCAGGATGGCATGGCCCAGGTGTTCTCCATCTCAGCACAGACTTCCCAGGTGTTCATCCATCTCAGGACGGCATGGCCCAGGTGTCCATCCATCTCAGGATGGCATGGCCCAGGTGTTCTCCATCTCAGCACAGACTTCCCAGGTGTTCATCCATCTCAGGACGGCATGGCCCAGGTGTCCATCCATCTCAGGACGGCATGGCCCAGGTGTCCATCCATCTCAGGACGGCATGGCCCAGGTGTCCATCCATCTCAGGACGGCATGGCCCAGGTGTCCATCCATCTCAGGACGGCATGGACCAGGTGTCCATCCATCTCAGGACGGCATGGCCCTGGTGTCCATCCATCTCAGGACAGACTGGCCCAGGTGTCCATCCATCTCAGGACAGATTGGCCCAGGTGTCCATCCATCTCAGGACAGACTGGCTCAGGTGTCCATCCATCTCAGAACAGACTGGCCCAGGTGTTCATTTCAGGACAGACTGGCTCAGGTGTCCATCCATCTCAGGATGGCATGGCCTTCATCCATCTCAGGATAGACTGGCCCAGGTGTCCATCCATTTCAGTACAGCATGGCCCAGGTGTCCATCCATCTCAGGACAGACTGGCCCAGGTGTCCATCCATCTCAGGACAGACTGGCCCAGGTGTTCATCCATCTCAGGACAGACTGGCCCAGGTGTTCATCCATCTCAAGACAGACTGGCCCAGGTGTCCATTCATTTCAGTACGGCATGGCGCAGGTGTCCATCCATCTCAGGACAGACTGGCCCAGGTGTCCATCCATCTCAGGACAGATTGGCCCAGGTGTCCATCCATCTCAGGACAGACTGGCCCAGGTGTCCATCCATCTCAGAACAGACTGGCCCAGGTGTTCATCCATTTCAGGACAGCATGGCCCAGGTGTTCATCCATCTCAGGATGGCATGGCCTTCATCCATCTCAGGGCAGACTGGCCCAGGTGTCCATCCATCTCAGGACAGACTTCCCAGGTGTTCATCCACTTCAGGCCAGTGTGGCCGATGTGTCCATCTACTTAAGGGCAGCATAGCCCAGGGATCCATCCATCTCAGGACAGCATGGCCCAGATGAGTCTCTTTCTTATGAAGATGATGGCATCCCAGAAACCAGGGGTAAATGAGGGTGCCCCAAGCAGTAGCCCAAGCCCACAAGAGAAGTCTCCTGGCCCCAGCATTAGAGCAGCCACAAACCCCTCCCGTCGCTGCCCACTCAGTTTAACCTGCCGTGGCTGATAAGTGTGTGCAGCGCAGTTCACAGGGCCATGGGGAGAGGAGGGTCATCACAGGACACCTGTCTGGCCACCAGGAAGCCGCTGTGGCACCCGCCATGTGCACACAGAGCCACGAGGAGTGGTGGGTGTGTGGTATCTTCCTCATGGGCACCTAGGAACCCACTAAGCCCCAGACAAACAACTGTGTCTGTTTCATGGCCTTGGTCACTGAATCTACAAATCTACGTGCTACCCCACAGTGTCCGAGGAACAAGCATTTCACTCCAGATCAGAAGTCCAGCTCAGACTGATCTTCCTCCTTACAGGTTTGCTCGTAGTCCTAGGAAACCCTTTTCCAAAGTACGCCACGGTGAGGCCTCCATTTCCTGCTCCTGCAAGGCCGTGGTGCCCTGCCCTGAGCACCTCAGGCCCCACCATCCAGCCACAGTGGCAGTGTGGCGCCACCCACGCCCTCGGCAGCACCTGAGGCTGGTCCACAGCCCTCATGGAAGCTGTGAGCTGCTGCAGCAGGCCCCACACCCACTCCCACTGGGCTCTGCTCTGCAGCCCTGGCCTGCTCTCCTGGCATGTGGCTTTGTGTTACCTGACGACTGGCCCATCAGATTTTGAGCTTCTTCGGAGGAGTGTAAAGGCAGCTTTTCTCCTGGAGAGCAAAGAAGAGACAGGTTTAATGTTTTGCCCTCAAGGAGATAAGCAGTGTCCCTTCAACTAGGGAAGCTCAAAATATGACTGGCGCATGCACCGGGGCCTCTCCAGCCATGGCCACAGGCACGCAAGGGGGACAGGGGCTCAGCCACAGGCACGCCACGTCTCTGAGGGGAGGGAGGCCCAGCTGCCAGGCACGCCTGGGGGAGCGGGGGCTTGCCACGGTTGGCCACCTTTGACGGCCTCGTGACGGCGACTGGGTTGGGGCTGACTCGGCCACTGCTCTCCTGGGGCAGGGCTGGGTGCCACCCCGGGACGTACAGTGGCTTCCTGCCGAAGAGCATCCACGCTGCTGTCTGTGCTTTTGCTCCTGGAGAAAAGCCTCCAGGGCAGCCCAGTGGGTGTGCTCAACAGGAAGGGCCACCGGGGACAGCACAGAGCACTGCCTATCAAGCGCAGACTCCCAGTGAGCAGACGTCTCTTCACAGCAAGGCTACGGCAAGGCCAGCTGTTGGTGAACTGGCCCACAGTTAGAGTGAGACCCACCTCCCGCCCCGCCCTGTCCCCGGCATCGGCCCCGGCCCCGGCCCTGGCATGCCCGCTGCACGTGAACCCTGCACCACCGGGACTCACGACTCCAACTGTACCGGTCCACACACTGCACTGAGTGACACAGCTCAGAAAGAGAAAGTCCCCAGGTGAGAAGAGAAGGAGGTGAGAAAAGGGCTGGGTACGTACCGGGGAAAGCGGGGTTGGTCTGTCCGAGGGGAGGAAAGGGGGTTTGCTGCATGGCCAACTGGTGGAGCTTGGTCAACTGCTGGGGTAGGAGGGACATGAGAGCTAAGAAGGTTATTGTCATTGAGTACAAGTCACACCAAATTAAAAAGGCAGTAACAGAACTTTGCACAGATAGATAGAGAGGGCCATGCGGACACATGGCAGACGCAAGAGAACGCAAGGACTTGGCCTGGGGGAAGCCAATGGAGCCCAGGCTATGAACGGGCGTGGGGCCGCTGCTGGGCATGCGGAGAGCAGCACAGGGAGCCGCCGTCTTCTCTCCCTGGCTCCCTGGCAGCTCCAGCCTGGACTAGCTGAGCCTCCCTCTCACCAGCTGGTGTGGACAGGAAGCTGGCTGGGGCCAGTGGGTCACAGAGGGCCTGGGAGAGTGTGGGAGCCACAGAGGAAGACAAGCTGCGTGTCTAGGAGACTCAAGACCGAGTCACTAGTCACAAACCTCAGGCTAGCCCCTGTGGGATCCAGAGGCTCTAGCTTGCAAAGCTCACCCTGGCCTCACCTGTGCTAGGCCTGGCCCCTCCCCTCCCCTGCAGGGCCTTGCTTTACCCAGGAGGTGACCTGGGGTTCAGGGGACACCCGAAGGGCCACACACCTGCCTTCTAGTCATCTCCAGGAGGGTCTCGCCTTTCCTGGGATTACAAAACACTACTGCTGGAAGGTTCTGTGGAAGGTGTGAGTGAGGGACACCTCAGGCCCTCAGCTGGGAGCTGCCTGTGCCCCCAGTCCCTGCAGGCTGCCCCCAGCCCTTCTCCTCCCCAGTCCCTGAGCCACAAGACTTTTCAAGGGGGCTTTGCTGCCATTTTTTTTTTTTTTTTTGAGACAAAGTTTCGCTCTTGTTACCCAGGCTGGAGTGCAATGGCTCGATCTCGGCTCACCGCAACCTCCACCTCCTGGGTTCAGGCAATTCTCCTGCCTCAGCCTCCTGAGTAGCTGGGATTACAGGCACACGCCACCATGCCCAGCTAATTTTTTGTATTTTTAGTAGAGACGGGGTTTCACCATGTTGACCAGGATGGTCTCGATCTCTTGTCCTCGTGATCTACCCGCCTCGGCCTCCCATTGCTGGGATTACAGGCGTGAACCACTGCGCCCAGCCTTTGCTGCCATTTTAAAAGTTATTTTACCTGAGTCTCATTTCTTAAATAAAAACTAAAAATAGCAAAAGATAATAGTACATGAGGCAAGATGAGGCCACATGTGGGATGCTCAAAATTACATCCCCCCTTTGGAGAGCCCAGGACTGCTCAGCAGACGGCACGGGGCTCCTCACACCTGGCTCTCCCCGGAGCCACAGACCTCCAGCCTCAGGCCTGCCAAGGCTGGGCACTGCAGAGGGTATCCTGGGGCTCAGGAGGGCACCAGACGAAGCTCCTCTGTAGGGGGGCAGCCCGGCAGGAAGGGAGGCAGCACATTCGGGGAGGGGCATCACCTCCCACCGTTTTCAGAATATCCAACCCAAACACATCCCCGTGTGGTGGCTGCATGTGGACTCCTGTGGCCCCAGCCAGGCAGGCAGCTCAGCTTCCTCACTGCACAGGGTGTGGGGTAGCAGAACTGCTGCAGAGGCCACCAAGGCTGGAGGTGTGGACACTCGGAGCAGAGTTGCTGTCTGCATGCGAGGAGGTCGGCTGCTGGGCACCTGACAAGACCCCCATGCTTGCCCCATCTCTGGAACCCAGGTTCCCAGACACCAGGGAGCCCAGTCAGGAAGGCAGCCACCGTGGTCCCAGCACCTTCCCAGCTGTGTGCTCCTGGGTGGGTTTGTGCTCGGCCTCCCAGGAGCTCTCCCCTAAGAGTTCACCCAGAGTCAAGATAAAGGCCCCACCTCAGTACCCAGTGTCCTGGGAGGATGGGGGCTGCTCCCCAGCCCCGCCCCTCCCTGACCTTTAGCTTTGCCTGCTGGTGGGCAGGGCAGGCCTGGCAGGAGGGGGCCATCTGGTGTGCTGTGGCTGTCTGGCCTCTTCATGCTCCCACAGGATGGGGTCCGGTCCCCACAGCAAGCCCGTGGCCTCTGACACACCTCTGAGTGTAGTGGAGAGCAATTAGACTGTGAGGTGTTTGCTGCCGCAGACTGACTTTCCTTCTAGCGATCTGCCATTGCAGACGCATCTGGCAAGGACTTACATAGGGGCACATCTGCAAAGCAGGCCCTGCCCAGGCCTCTCTGCCTTCCTGGCTGTCCTCTGACCCCAGGCTTCCCTAAGGAGACCTGGCTGTAACCCAGACTCAGCAAGGCCATTCCTGCTGCAGCAGGAGAGCTCAGGTCAGGGGTCAGTTTCAGCTTTAAGAGTGCCCTGAAGAGCGGGTGCCTGTGAAGGCCACAGCAAGGGCTGGAGGGCTGAGGGTGCCCCTGCCTGGCAGGCTGCTGGCCCAGGAAGACGACCTGGCTCCCATCTGCGCTGCCCTGTGATGTAACGTGAATGGGCCTGCCAGGTTACCTGAGGGGATGTGTGTGCAAGCCCCTGACGAGGGTGCCAGGAGAGCCAGTGGGGGAGACGCTGTCCCAAGGACACCAGCTGAAGTCACCGGGACAAAGTCTACCTCCTGGTGAGGCGTGAGGCCCTGCGGGGGCAGCAGGAGAAAGCAGGTGCATCGGGGTCCTAGTGAAGGTGCCCCACCTATACAGGGCATGTCAGGAAAGACTGGGGCTGCCCAGGTGGGGTAGGAGAACCGCAAGGGGGGTTAGGCGCTCCTGGCGAGTTCACCCAGTCACTGGATGCTGAGTGGCACAGACGGGGTCCGTAAACCCCCGACTCCTAGTGGCCAGGCCCAGGAGCTGCCCCATGGCCAGGGAATGCAGCACAGGGGAGGGGGTGCCCCCTGGGCTCTGCAGCGGATGGAATGGCTCGAGTCAGCTCCAAGATGGCCCGGCCTGTGGCTGTGGTAATAGGAAGGCCTGGTGGCTCCAGGCCCCAGTTCCTTGAACTATAAAATGGGGAATGGATGTGAGTGAGGGGCAACTGTGATGTGCTGCAGGTGACAATGTCCCCAACACGTTTGGCTTTTTAGGAAGAAGTGTCCACACTAGCAGATGAATCTCTTTCCTCCCCACCTACAAACACAGGGACACCCTAGGGAGGCCTGGCCTAGCACAGGGAGTGCTGGGTGGGCGTCTGTGGAAAGAATGGGCGAGCGGGTGCACGAAGCCCAGGACACAGGCTCACCCGGCTCTGCCCTGCATCAGTCCGGCCACTGCATCTCTTTTGGACTCAATTTCCACATTTTTTAAAGGCGGTAACAGGACTAAGTGTCAAGGGACCTTACAATTTTTGAGAAAATTCTGCCTGTAAAAAATGAGACTTTTGGTTCTCACCAGAACCTCCAAATCACTGAGAGAAAAAGAATAAAGACAGAAGTCGAGGGAGGAGGGGAAGAAAGTCAGGCAGGCGAGAGGGCGGGAGGGAGGGAGAAGGGGAGGGGAGGAGGGCAGGAGGGTGACCGATGTTTCTCTGTAAACTGCCTTTTCCACTTCACATTGACTCAGAATGTAACACACAGACAACTACTAAAATTACAAGCATTTGTTAAGATGCAACTCAGTGAATTATCACAAAACAAACACAGCCACGCAACTGGCCCTCAGGCCAAGGCCACCGCCATGGTAGTTTCAACCTGCATTCATTCGTGTTTCCTACCCAGTAAAATGCGTAACTTGGTCCTTCGTCCATTTTTGGGCTTGATTTTTGCTGACTTCACGGGAGCTCCCCGGCATTTCCGATGCCAGCATTTCCGATGCCATCCTGCCCGTTATTCGTGCTGCCCAGCTCTTTTCCCCACTCGCCTGCGGGGTCTTAGAAGCAGCATTCTAAAATTGAATGTAGTTGAAATCATCAGTGTTTTCCTTGATGGTCCGAGCTTACGTTTTAAGAAATGCCCCCTAACTGAGACTATGACATTCTTCTACATATTTTCTCCTAAAACTGCTAAATTCTTCTGTCTTGTGTTGGAGTTCTTGATACATGGGAGATGGTTTTTGTTTACGGCAGGAAGCAAATTATGACCTGCCGTTCTGGCACGGTGGGGAGCGTCTGCCCTCTCCCAGGCTCTCGTGGGCAGCTTTGTCCCGTCCACATCTCAGGGGCGGCTTCCTTCCCTTGTGGGGGGTTCTGGGCTCTCAGGTCTGAACCAGACTTTACTAGTCTCTCACTGCACCAAACCACACAGTCTGGCATAGTCGTCTCCGATGGTAACAGTGCCTCCTGCGCACCTCCTGCAGGCCTGCCTGAGGCTGTTTTATAGCTAACTTGTTCAGATAATTCGAAGGAATATACTAACATAAGATAAAAAGCATAGTAATACATAACCCAGTGCCATGAGGAATGACGAACCGTGCATAACAGCATGTGCTACACGGCTGGGAGCAGCACGCATCGGGTAACGTGCTGCGCTGCACCAGGAACTTCTCAGCTCCCCTCCGCTCTCATGCGGCCACCATGGTCTGTGTGGTCTGCTGTTGCCTGAACCATCCACGTGGAGCATGACTGTAACTGCTTTGTGCTCTGAGAGTGTGAGCTACACGATTCCGATTTTTGAAAGATGGTGAGCCGTGCTTTACGGTCTGGTACGTGATCAGGTTTTGCAAATGTCTCCGTGAATTCTATAGTGGTGCTGGGCGTAGTGTTCAACCTCCGTCAATAACGTCAGGATCACGGAGAACTCTATGATGCTTTCTTCACACGGGTCTACTTGGCCTATCACTCTCGGAAAGAGAGGTGTGCCAGGTGTTCACTACGTCCGTCAAATTCTCTATGTTTTGTCAACTATTTTCTTTATATATTTTAAAGCTATGTTTTAAGCATGTACAAATTTTGAATTATTGTATCTTCTGTGAGGTGAATTTAGCAACATGTAATGACTAAAGTTTTTTTCCTAAAGTCTTGTTTTTTTCCCTTCTGCTGACGTTAATGTTGGTTCACCAGTTTATTTCTTGCTTGTTCCTTAGCCTCTTCGTTCTTTCACTTTTTTTCTGGGTCCTTATGCTTGAGGTGTGTCTCTTGTAAGAAAAAAAACAAAATCGTTTTT